GGATGTGGCTCAGTGGCACAGTGCTTGCCTGGTAAGCACGAGGTCCTGAGTTCGATTAGGTACCAAAAAAAAAAAAAAAAAAAAAAAAAAAAAAAAACAAAAAAAAACCAAAAACAAAGTTAAACCCTTGCCCTCTCTCCACAGTGTATACTTTTGTGGAAGATATAGCCAGATTCAGCTGTTTTTCTTGAAACAGGAGATGGAATTTTCCCTGATGTAAAAATAATGGTGCCTAATTCTTGTGGGAGGTGGACAGGGCTGGTGCTGGCGCCGCAGGCCCTGCTCTCCCTCAGAAATAGCCCTACAGTGGCCTCATTTTCTAAAACTTGCAACTCAGCGAGTTCTTCACCATTACTAAGAAGAATCCACCGCTCTGCTGAAGTTGAAAGGAGAGCCATGCATGGCCGATGTAGGCATCCACTCAAGTGGTGGGACTTGAGCTCCCCAGGGCTTGCTCTCCAGCCTTGGGGTATAGGCAACGAGTCTCCAACAGACTCATAGTCAGAGACAAAGATATACATTCGGACTTTGACTTTCCCCATGCCTGATGTGGCTGGGGCACCACAAAACTGGGTATGGGGGTGGGGAAGGCGGAGGGGTTGGCAAACTGAGTTTGGAGCCTGGACTTTTGAGGGAGGAACAGAGGAAGAGCCCCAAGAAGCCAGGGAACAGAGGGAGGTGACTAGGGACATAGGGAAAGGGGAGCATTTTTCTCACTGTCCACAGACAAGGTCAGCTGATGACCTCAGTTATGGGCAGGTCTTAAACTTGCCCCTATATACAAACTGCACCTCCTTCCCCGGGATCTCAGAGCTGGCTCCCGCCGAGGCTGCCTGTTGCCCGTCCCAGGGACTGTTGGGAGGATTTCTGAGCATCCATTTTTTCATGGTCTGATACCAAGTCTAGGAATCTGGCACTTGGGCGCCGCAGGGAGGAAAAGGGCAGCAAAGGGCTGGGGGGGAGGTGGCTGAGTAATTGTTAGTGGCTCCCTTTGCAGTGGGAACCGGAAAGATAATCTTTCTGGAGCGTTTAGGGCTCCAATTAAAATCTTCCTTTCCTGACAAGGGTTTCCTTCCATTGTTGTGTGGTCTCAGCTCCTGGGAGGAGAGGCGGCACCAGTGGTGGGGGATGTGTACCCAGGGTGCAAAAGTAGGAGGCACTGATCTTTGGGAGCCTGGGAGCCGTCACTTGCTGGGAGAGGCTGCAGGCCTCTGAGAGGTATCCTTGAGATTGGGGGTTCCTACCCTTCCTAGCAGGTGCCTAGCCATGAGCAAGTCCAGGAACCAGCAAAGCCTCTGCCTCCACTCCCCTCCCCAGGGCTGCTGGGCACCTTTGCAAAGAGCCCCTTCAGTCTCGGCTCGTCCCCTCCCCTCCCCCACTTGAGCAGGCAGCCTCCTCCTGCCACTTCCTTGTTTGCCCTGCAGTTTGAAGAGGAGAGAGTGTGGTGAGTGGAGAGAGCACTGCCTGCCTCAGGAACAAGTCTCCTGGCAAATTATTGGCAGGATTTGAAATCCATTTTTATTCTGCCCATTATTAATTATTGTTATTTCTGCTGTTCATTACCAGCTCGTTTCCTTGAACAACTCTAGGGAACAAAGGCTTTTCAAAGCATTTCCATGGAAGAGCATGCATGGCCACCAGTGTGCAGAGCCCAAGAATCCAACTCGGGGCTGGAGATGAGGAGCCCTTCAGGCCCTGAGCAAAGTCTTTTCCATGGTGGCTGCATAAGACAGAGAAAGCACGGGTCAGGCCATTTGGGGCCAAGCTGAAGTCCTCCCGCCTGCCCCTCTCAAGGCCCTTTTCAACGTTGCTTTTCTGTCCAGAGCAGCTGCACAGGAAACACATTCTTGCTGTTAATGCTTGGTTTCAAAAACAATGAAGACTTAGGGGGACAACAGAAAAGCAACTCGACGCCTCGTTACGTGTGTACGGACCTGTGGTCACCTAGGTCGAGATACAAGCCACTTTCAGCGTCTGTCCCAAAAGGCATCTGGTGCTTCCTCCCAGCTGCTGTCATCCTAAAGGTGACCCTTTCCTTCCTCCTCAGGATAACCTTGCCTCTACAGGAATGGGTACTGGAAATGGGATTAGCCATGACAGTAAACCTAAGGAGTGTGGTGGTAGCATAGGGTTAGGTGGCAGATGGCAGGGAGTCCGGTAGGATAGTGACTTGTGTCAAGCAGTGACTAAACATGCGATGAGTCCTGATGGTGTCATTGTTTCCCACTGTCACTCTTCACAGATTTCCTTACTCTAACTCTGTCTTTTCTTTCTTTTCTTTGTTAGGTATGGGGATTGAATTCTGGGGCATTTGCAGTGAGTTGTATTTCTAGCCTTTTTTACTTTTTCAGTTTGAGACAGTGTCTTGATAAGTCACTAAGTTGCTTGGGCTGGTCTTGAACTTTCAAGTCTCCTGCCTCAGCCTCCCACAGTGCTAGGATTACAGCCAGGCTCCACCAAACCTGGCTCCATTACCTTCTTAAGTGCATCAGGACAAGTCTCCTTTATACAACTCTCCCTTGTCTTTTCTTCATTTTTCTCTCCTCCATCTGTGTGTGTGCATATGTGTGTGTGTGTGTGTGTGTGTGTGTGTGTGTGTGTGTGTGTGTGTCCCTTCTACCTCCAACATCTTTAGGCTCCAGTCTGACAGGGGGAAGAGAAGGGGAAATATTTGGAGGCACTAACACGAATTTAAAGCCGAGGCTACCACCCACTGATTTCTGAAATGGGCATTTAGAGAGATCCCTTTTATGAGCCAACTGGGTTATAAAACCAGAGTGCGGCTGCTCCATGAACTGTCAGTCGACTACCCCACAACAGTGTATCAACCCTTTATATTTTCCATGACTGTTGAACTTCAGGTCCCCCAAGTTCTTCTACACCCACCCCTACCACCATCATGTCCTTTTGGCATCAGTTTGACTCTCTGAGCCCTCCTCTTTAGCTGCAGCCTCTATGTGGGGACAGTCATGCTGGCCCTGCTGTCACAGAGCTGTTGGGAGACTGATGGCTGATGGGGCGAAAGCCATTTGAGCTGTGTAAAGCATCGTGCAAGTGACAGGCAAAGCAGTGTCATTATCTACAGGAACTGCCATCGGCTCAAATTGTTTCACTTTGGGGCAATGGGTTTTGAGTTTTTCAAGGTTATTTTGCTTTATGGCCTCTCTCCTTAGCAGTCCACATAAATTTGGCATGTTCAAGAGCGACAGCGGTCTCCAGAAACTCTTGCTCATTATCTTTGGCTGTATTTTCAAACCGGTGAGCTATCTACATGGCCATCATCTTTACAAGGCTCTGGGCTCGTTTCAGGAAGATCAGTCCAAGAGTTGGACTCCCTTCCCACTGCAACTGCATCCTCTCTGTTGTGTGCCACGAGAGCTGCTTTTCTATTAGTTTTCTTCCTGGGGTAAACCAGGGGTGGGTCCTCAATCTGTGGCCTATGAATGAGCTTTAGGAAGGTTCCTGGTTGTCTACAAAACTCTGGGAGTGCGGGTGCGCATGAGCGGGCACATCCTATGTGTGAACCTGTGATTGTTGTTCTGCTAAGAGAAGTCGTAGTTTTCATCAGACACATACTAGTGGACCCCCGAATACTGTAAACACCCCTAAACTTTCCAACCTGGGCTGTTATTGCAATGGAGATTTTACAACACCAGCAGGAAGCTGCTGATCTCGAGAACTGTCGTTCCACGAAGAAGCAGTCTAAGCAATCTGGATCTTCTACACTCAGACCTACAGATGCCCACCTGCAATCATCGACAGGTGTGTACAGAGCCATGGCACTGTCAGAAAGCTTGCTCTTCTTTGATGGCTCATCCAGGTGTGGGCAAATCCAGATGTGGACCCTCCTGCCAGGCTGGCCATGGGTTTTGGTAAACACAGATGAAATAACTGGTGGAGGGTGCTCACATGCTCATGCGGTGCTGAAGAGGAGAAATGCTGGAGAGGGTGGGTTATTTTATTTCCTTTTTCTTGAAAAGAGCAGATTCCCCTCCCTTTTCCAGGTATAAACACATGAGAGGCTGGGGGCCTATCGCTCAGGGTTAACCTGGGAATTCTGACTCAATGGACCTTGATGAGCAAACAGTTCCAATGGAACACTTCCAGCAAGGCTTGCTCTTTTATTTTTATTTTGTTAAAAGTGATGCCGTGATGGACGGGAAGGGGGCATGGACTTAGATGAATGATTTCTCAGTAAATGCTTCACTGAGGACCATCTTTCAGGGACAACTCACACCTAACAGTTAATGAAGAAGCAGAGGGGCTGGAGTTGCCGCCCTCAGTGGGAGCCTGGAAATGTAGGAACCGGGAGAAGCCAGGGCCTGTATTATGACATCGACTCAGGGTTGAACTACATGAGGGAGACTGCATGAGCAAGCATTCATCACTGGTCTTGTGGGGAGATGCTGCTTGCCGGTAGCTGCAAAAAGTAAAAGACCCATATCCTGAGATGGATACAGATTCCATATTCAGGGACTGTTCTATTCCCTAGGGGGCAATTTGGAAGCAGGGGGAGGGGTGGATGGTTGGTGGTGCATATTGGGCTGCCACAAAGACTTAGGGGTGCTACTGGCCTTAGCAAGCAAGGGTATCAAGGATACTTAGTGTATTACATGGGTGGGTGGGTAGGGGGGGCACTGTCCCATACAATGCGGATTTGTCCCGGCCCAAATACCAGTAGTGCTCCCATTGACACACATGGCTAGGATCTGTGGAGAAGCTTGCAGGTGTCCTTTCTAAAGAACCAATTGGCTCATTAGAGACTGAGGATCATTTTTCAAGGTGACCCAAGGGATTGGGGCAGAATGGCAGCCTGCAGCGTGAGGAGGTTGGAGGAGCAGATGCCCATGAACCCCCTGGAGGTCAGGCTGAGGCCACCGGAGGAGAGAGGAGGAGGAGGAGGGAAGGAGGGTCAGTGGGTAGGGAGGGCTGTGTTGCTGGGTAGGGAAGTGTAACTGGAGACAAACGGAGCAGTCAGAAGCAGGCAGAGAGGGAAATAGGCTGGTGGCTCACTGGGAGTGAGACAACCGGAGTTGGGGATTTGAGACAGGATTTAGAATAGAACAAGCAAAGCCTGTAATCCCAGCACTCGAGAGGGTGAGGCAGGAGGATTATTGCAGGTTCGAGCCCAGCCTGGACTACAAAGTGAGCTCAAGGCCAGCCTGAATTGCACAGCAAGATTCTATCTCAGAGAGAGAGAGAGAGAGAGAGAGAGAGAGAGAGAGAGAGAGAGAGAGAGCAAGAGAGAGGCTGGCCTGGAGAAAAAGACAGGACTGACCCTTCAGGGTTCAGGTAGGCCTGGGCTGTGCAGAAAGAATCCCCACTGCTGGCTTTGCTGTGTTCCACCTGTACTTCTGCACCTCTTCAGAGGGGACTTGACCTCCGGCTCTGCTGGCATCATGAGGGGACCCAGGGCAATGAGAGGGCTTGCCAGAGCTGCCAGTGTCCTCGCCTGCTGCAGGATGTGGGAGTTGCCTCTGGGAAGCGGGTCCCTTACACCCTCCCCACAGGAGGAGCTGGGCTGCTCCTAGGGAAAGGTAAGGAGACAAGGAGGCAGGGTCTCGTGAGCACAGCTGTCTGTTCCTGCTGGCTGCCAGCTCATCCTGTGTCTCACACTTCTGGGCCAGGCCAAGGGACTTTACAGAACAGGTATGGAGGCCAGTCCTGAGCTGGTGTTTTGTCTTCTGTGTATTGTGGTTTGCAAGGCAAAGGCATGAGATGACAGTGACAGGGACAAGAGGCAGAGAGCTGCCTTCCCACAGGAGCTGGGGGAAGGGATTTAAGGCCCAGCTGCTGACATTTTTACAAAACAAATAAGTGCAGGGTTGAGCTGGTGACCTCAGTGTGATGGAAAAAGCCAGTCAGCAGCGTGGCTGCCAGAAATGGTATGTTTCTCGGCCCACCTGTTAGGAAGCGGAAAGGGAGATGTTGAGTAATATCATCCCAGCAGTTACCAAGCTGCCACTGCCTGCTTGGCACGGCTCTGCACACTTGATGTGGGCTCAGTGAGAACCCTCCCAGCATCCCCTGCAGAGGCCTATGCTGTGGTTTCCAGTTGAGAGCCCGGGAACGGAGCAGAGGTAGGTGTTCTTATACTTGGCCAAGGTTGGGCAGTGGAGAACTGATGGGAAAGGGGTGTTAATCCTGGCAGTCCAGCCCTGGCACCTATGAGGTGAGCATCTAGCACCCAGGCCTGCTGCCAGGAGCTTGAAACAGGTTCTGGGAGGTGGGGTTTTGTGTACCTGTGGGCGTGTGACTCTGTTTTGGCCCATGTTTTACTTATCTACTGCTGCATAATGAATCACTCCAAAAGTAATTAAAGAACAAAACTACCTGCTTATACCTCTCACTGTTCTGAGGACCACTGCCCTCAGCTAGAAGGTTCTGTCTGTCTCTCTCCGCACTCTGTCTCATGTACTTGCCATCAGACAATCCTTGTGACTGAAGTCCCATTAAAGGTGTCCTTCCTTACTTACACATCTGGTAATGGATGCTGGCTGCTACCTGGGACCTTGGCTGGAACATCTCAGTAGGGCTTCTCCATGTAGGCTGGGTTTTTCTGGAGCATAGTGGCTGGCTTTTGAGAGTAAAGGAAGTCACATGGGACAATTCTACCATTGTCACAAATCTGTCCCTACTCAAGAGAAGGGACCATAGACCTCAGATTTTTTTTTTTTTTTTTTGAGACAGGGTCTCACTTTGTAGTTCATGTTAGCTTTGAGCTCACTATATAGCCTGAGCTGGCCTTAAACTTGCAGTGATCCATATGCCTCAGCCTCCTGAGTTCTGGGATTACAGATGTGTGCCGCCACATCTGGCTCTTGACAGGAAGTGACATCAGATCATAAGAAAGGCATGTAACCATCTTAGAAAGTGGCCTCTGTCAGTGTTACTTCTTTCTTTTATTTTTCAATCTTGGAAAAACTCAACTGTCTGTGAATGAAGCCCAAATTCATCCTTGTTTGTTGACAAGATGCTAAATAATCAAGGACCCAAGAATTTGCCTAGTAGCCTTTATTCTCTTCCTGCCATAGTTTCCCTGGTTGGCCAGGCACTGAGCTGGGAGCTGGGGACACAAAACTCCAGCATCTATCAGCCACACCTTGTGCCCTGAAATAATATAGTCTTCGCTTTTGGTAATCACATGAGGACCAGGCTCTGAGGATGGGCTCAGTGCCACTTTGAACTGCCTGCCCCCCAATCTTTGTGTGGGCCTGCCCTTATCTTTCTTTGTTTTTATGTCCATTATGAGCTGACAATGACCCCCACTCCATTCACATGTTGAAGTGCTAACCCCCAGGGCCTTGGAATGTGACTGTATTTGAGGACAGGGCCTTTAAGGAGGTGATTAAGTTAAAATGAAGCCATCAGATGGACTTAATTTGAAAACTGCTGTTCTTATGAGTGCAGGAAACATGGACATGAAGAGACACCAGGGATGTGTAAAGACCATGTGAGGACACGGGGAGAAGGGGCCTTTTGCAAGCCAAGGACAGAGACCTCAGGAGGAACCAACCTTTGATCTTAGACTAGCATTCAGAACTATAAGGCAACAAATGTCTGTCATTGAAGTCATTCAGCCTATGGTGTTTCATTGTGACAGCCCAAGCAGGCTAAGATGCTCGCCCTGCATCCCCCTGGGAGAGCCTCCCCTCAGATGAGGTAACCAAGGGGGGCACAGGTTCCCACTAGATGTACTATCACTCAGAAGGGTGGCAACCCTGGATGGGACAGCCCCTTTGCCCCACTGGGCTTAGTAGCTAATAGGACTACTTTGATGGGATTGAGTGATAGTCACCTGGGGCACCTGGTACTTTCAAGCAAGGGATCAGCTCAGGTGGCAGGTGGAGGTGGGTGGCAGCAAAGCAGCCCCCTATCTGGCCCACGGGGTTGTGGTCTGCAGGTGATCACCAGGCCCTGATTGGCTCACTCAATTCCCTAAATGTCCCCAAATACAGGTGGGCTGTGGTTCTTCCAACACTCAGGAGTCACAGAGGGACAGAGCAATTGAAAAAGCACCTTGATAGCCAGATGTGGTGATGCATGATTATAACTCTAATGTGCTGAGAGGCTGAGGCAGGAGGATTGCAAGTTCAAGCCCAGTCTGGGCAATTTAGCAATTTAGCATAATCCTGTCTCAAAATACAAAATAAAGAAGGGTTGGAGATGTTCTCCATATACCCTGGGTTCAATCCCTATTATAAAAATGAAACAAGAAAAAGAACAAAAAAAAGACAAGAGGAGACAGAAGAAAAAATCCCAGTGCAGCCACCTGAAGACCAAACTTTTAGGCTGGCAACCTGTCCTCTCTGTGCACTCTTTCCCCCACACAAGAATCCAGGGCCTGCCTGGCCTCTATGCATTTTTTATTTTGCTATATTCATTCCATTGTCCTCATGTGAATAATTTAAACTGACACAGAAAGAAAGGGCAGTCCTTGCCACAAAAGGGAGGCTGCCAGATCCCTGAACCTTTGTGTGTTTTCATCTCTTGAGCACATCTCTTCCCTGTCCTGTTCTATCTGCCTCATTCTGGAAATTTCTCTGGTATCCTCTTGCTTAACACGTGCATGCACGCATACATGCACGTGCAACACACACACTGGCGCCCCCACCCCCACCCGTCTCAGTGGGCAGAGTGCGTGGCATTTGCATGTCTGTCTCTGAGACAGGGTTTCTCCCTCTGAGTGTGAATGGTCTGTCTGGTCGGCATCTCTGTTTCTCATTTCCTCTTGCTCCTTCCACTTTGCAGTCGAGGGAGGGTAGGGGCTGCTTCATTTGGAAAGTGGCCTTATTTTCTTTTCCTATCTCTATTTGTCATCACAAAGCATGCATCTCTTGTGGGTTAAGTGGGGAAGGGAGGAGCCAGGTCCAAGGAGGATTCACCATCCCTCCATGGCCCAGCCACACATTTTCAGATGATGCAGATCCTGAAAGGCTTCTGTGTGTTTCCCGGGTCTTCAGTGATCAGTACATGGGCTTCAGCTGGCCACCGGGATTGTCTGGAAAGCAGCCTGGGCCTCTCAGCTCTGAACCAGGAAGTAGGCTGTATTTATCAGAAGGCATGGCCAGGATTTCCTGGAGGTTCTGGCCTCTAGCCTGTAACCTGGCACTGTCCAATAGAAACGGAACTCGAGGCACAAATGTGAGCCCCAGGCGTAATCTTGAATGTTCCAGGAGCCACATTCAAAAGAAACGGGTGAAATTACTTGAATAATATGTTTTATTAAACCCTGTTTATCCAGAATATTACCATTTTGACATGTAATTGAGGAAGAATTATTCATTAGGTCTTTGACATCTTTTCTTGGAACTATGCCTCTGAAATCCAGCACGTACTTCACATTTAGAACAGGCCTCAGTTTGGACCAGCCACCTTGCAAGTGGTCAGTAGCTCCATGTAGCCAGGGTACTTCCCTGGCCAGGGCAAATCTAGCCTAACCAAGCCTGGGGTTCCGAATCCCAACTTCCGCTGCCTACACAGCAGCGAGATGACTGTGCCTTCCTCGTGCACAGAAGAGAGAAGCACTCGGAGGTGACTTGGAGAGTTCTCTGAGTCATTATTCTCCCATTATCATCATTAGCTGTAATCATCACTAACGCGCTGGCAGAGCCCACGTCCAGCCCTCTGGCTGCTGCTTTCAGATCCTGCTGCACTCTGTGCTGCCCAGTTACTGACCTATATTCTGTTTTGCGGGTGCTGAGGGTACACTCTGAGATGCTCTGGGCTTGGCCCCCAGCTAGGGCCTCCTCACCTCCAAGTGTGGGTGCTCCTCCCCCTTGATAGGTCCCAGGAACCCTGGGCTTGTCCCTTCTATTTATAGCACCTGGTGGTGACAGCTGGCCATCCATGACTCATCAGTCACCGTGGGCGTCTCCCAATGGAACCCTGAACGTTTTTTTTTTTTTCATAGGGTGCTTTTGGCAGTTTCTGAAGTCCTCCTAGTAAGTCCTGTCTCTGGGGGTTGTCTTTCTTTAAAAATCCTACAGAGATGAGATTTGATTATCAGCCCTAACTACAGGAGGAGGGTGTGCATGGGATGGGTGTGGAGGGCTTCGCACATCCAGCAGAACTTTGGGGAACTGGCTCCAGGGAAGCTTGGAAATGCTGAGGAATCAATTTACAAAGGGAGGCCTGTCACTGCTTTCTCTTTAGTCATGCTCTAAATACCCACCGCTGGCCCCAGATCGCCCCTGGCACTGGGGCTCAGGAGGTGTGAACTCCTCTCAGAAGTGGCAGGGCTTCTGGGGGCTCATCTCTTTTCAGCAGGGAATCTAGGACCAAACACGAGCTTTGCAGCTTACAGTAACTCTGTTTAACCCAGGCTGTCCCACTCACCAGCCTCATAGTCTTGGGTAAGTCCCTTTTGGTCTCTGAGCTTCCTGTGTACTGTGCGCCGCAGGCTAGGGTGGTGGGTCCTAGGAGGTACCTTCTATAGTAACTGCCCTGGCCCTTCTGTTTCCCCAGAAGCAGAGATTGCTTGAGATTACTTGAGATTTGCAGAAGAGTGGCTTACTGTGGAAGCACTCCACTCCCAGGACATGCCTTGGACAACTGGAGGAAGGAGGACCAGGAAGGGGAGTGAGCGTTCTGCAGAAATGTCTGTCAGCCTGGGCTGCTACAACACGAAGCCATGGAGTGGGCGGCTTATAAACTGCGCAAGCGTACTTCTCATGATTCTGGAGGCAGTGTGTAAGATCAGGGTGGCTGTGGGGTCAGGTTCTGGGGAGAGCTCACTGTTGGGCTGCTGACTGCCGACTTCTCCCTGTGCCCTCACATGAAACAAAAGAGGGCCAGTGCTCTCTGCAGTCTCTTTTGTAAGATCCCACTCAGGAGGGCCACACCCCCATGACCCCATCACCTCCCAAAGCCTCATCTCCTAACGCGTGGGAACTTGTGGGAGGATACAAACATGCAGTCCCGGAGAAGAGGGCAGCCTCAGCCTGGCCCTGGCTGGGTGAGTGGGACTCTGCAGGGGAAGTTGTACCTGGAGGAGTCCGTCCTGACTGCAGGCAAGGAAGCTGAGCCTGCCTTCTCCTTCATTGCCCTCATGGCAAAGCCCCCAGGGATGTGGGGACCTAAAGTCTGTCACACCTAGGTCCTTGAGGGAGAAGGGAAAGCATACTCAGTCCCTGGGGGTGGGGAGGGGGCGAAGGGCCTAATTTGCTGCTCTAAGCCTTCTTCCCTCACAGGGTTTGGTGCAGGGAGGAGGTGTTCCCAGGCCCTCCCTTCTGGAAGCTGGGCCAATCAGCTGAAGAGGGAGAATGAGGAAGCTTGGGCGCTCCTGGCCACACCCCATCTCTGTGGGTGCGCGTGTGCAGTTTGGGAAGAGCTGGGGTGCACACCCAGTGGCTGCTTGCCTGTGAGCCTTGTGTCCCCTATGAGCCTTGGAGTTTCTGAAAACACTTTACAGTCCATGCTGCCTTTGAGTCTGTCATTTTTTTTATTTTGTGGCACTGGGGATGGAACTCCTGGCCTAACCTTAGGCAAATGCTCCATCAGTGAGCAACATCCCAGCTGGGGTCTACTTTTGTTCCCTGTATCCCTTCAGCTTTCTTCCTTCCTTCCGTTCCCTTGCACCGGACTTGCAGGGCCTCTGTTCGGTCACCCCACTGCCAGGGCTCCTTAGGTTCTGGCTCCAGCTCCAGGCGCCTCCCTGTCCCAAGTCACCAGATTGTTGTCCATCTGTGTATTCGTCCAGCTTCTTTCTCAGCTGCTCTGGACTTCCAGCACTCAGCCTGCCAGACCCATGGTTGCACAAGCCTTCAGGCCCTTTTTTCCACCCACCAGTGCTGGGTGCCCTGTAGCAGAGACAAGGGACAAAGGGTCTCCAGTCAGCCACGTTGTTGACTTCCTGAAATTTCCATTCTTGAGAAAACTTGAGTTTATTTTCCACTGTCAGGAATCCAGAGTCTGAATGATTTTACCACTGTTCCTTTTTTGCTGGGCTGGGATTCTGTTTATCAGGGGGCGAGGAATTCGACTTCCTGGCTTTCCCATCTCAGCAGTTTTTATCCCTCCCATTTGCTTCCCTTTTCCCTCCTCCTCTCCTTCCTCGTTTCCCATCCCCTCTTTCCCAGCCCTTTCTCCTCCCACTTTCACTCTCTTCCCCTCCCCATTCTCCCTTCCTATGTTCTCTATTGGTGTAAGTGATCCAGGCCAGACCCTGGGATGGGCCACTGTCATTGCTGCTGCAGCTCCTGCTGCTTCCTGGGTTAGGAGCTCCAGAGCCTGGAGGCAAATTCACACCACAGGTGAGCGTCCACAGCTGGGGACAACTGACAAGTGTGTGTGTGCACATGTGTGCTGAGGGGGCTGCATTCCCGATTCAGTTCCCCACCCTTGCCAAGCGTGTCACTACAGAGGCTGTCATTAATATTGTCAAGCAAAAAATTTGCCTAACTCAGGGCATGGCATATACTTGCCATTCAGTAACAGTGGAATTGGACAAGGTTGCTTTAGGAGGGTCATTAAGACCAACATTGAAAATGTTACAAGAATTCGGTTCAGGTGTTTGGAAATAAAAGCATGTTACACTGTCTTCATAACAATACTTTGTCTTCCAGCTGCTCACTTATTTTTCCTGCAGTTGTTTAGCTTATTTGTGCTTGTGCTGTGCCAGTGATCCCATTGCCTGTGATCCCATGGTGGCATCTAACATTGTGAACATTTGGCTGGGGTTCTCTTGGAATCTCAGCTTGTTGGAACTGGACAGCTCTCAGCGGACTTTAACTCTGAAGTGCGCACATTTCAAGCGTTCAGGTGACCAACCCTCCATGACGGTGCTGCTTGCCAGCTTTCCCTGCAAGGGCAGCCTTACTGGGGAGCTACTTGTAGGACTGTCCTGAGATACAGGCCCCGGGCCAGCTTCTGGTAGCTGAGCTCTGTCAAGATTGAAGATTCAGTGTGCACCTGCCACACTGGGACAGGTCTCTTCTAGCCACAAATGACCTGTATTACCTTCCTGCCTGTGGGCAAGCACTATCTGTTTTGTGGTAGTCACAAAGGCAAGGTGTTCAGTGGGGGCAGTTGATGTGGATAATTGGTAGGGTGCTTTAGGACTCCCTTCTGCAAGAATCAGTTCACACTTGAAGCCTTGCTTTTACCGGGCATGATGTTGAACAACTGCAATCCCAGCACTTGGGAGGCTAGTCAAGGAGGATCACAAGCTAGAACTGAGCTTAAAGCCAGCCTGTGCTCAAAGCAAACAACACTCTACCATCAGATTTTGTCTGGGGAAGCAAATACTTCCAATCTAAATTTGGAGTCTCTGCCCTTTCTCAGGGCTCTCCTCACTAGGTGCCCATGGCCAGCATGTGTTCATATCCTCTACTCAATGTCTGTCTTCTCTAGTGGTATACAGGCTGCATGAGAGCAGAGATGCTGTCCGTTTTGTTCACTGCTAAATCCCCACACATTACTCAACCTGGAGTGTAGCATGCAGTAATGGGCAACATAGATCCTGTTGAAGGAACGAACGTCCAATCCTTAGGGCTTTCTACCCTTTTACCTTTAAAACATAATCCCGTGGCTGGGGGTGGAGCTCAGTGGCAGAAGACTTGCCTACCATGTGCGAGGCTCAGGGTTCCAGCCTCAGCACTGGGAATAAATAAAAATCAAATGACCCCAAAACTTTGTGATGCACCTTCCAATAAGAAGCAAAGTCTGCTCCTCTTTCATTTGATTCTGGACCAGTGGTAACTGCTGTCGCCTGAGAACACTGACCACCCCGAGTTGGCTGATCATAAGAGCAGGTCACATATAGGTGCTGTGGTGCCCAGCCCGAGGGCCAGAGAGATGTGAGTGCAAGGGCACGCAGCCTCTCTTCAGGATTCGGAGTCCAGACCTGGTAGAGCAGGGGAAGCCTGGCTGTTCTGCCTATCTAAACTCTTGACCCACAAAACCTCCAGCATGAGAAAATGATCATTAAACTGCTAGATGTTCAGGTGCGGTGCTTTTTTTTTTTTTTTTTTTTTTTTGGTCTTTTTTGAGATGGGGTCTCGCTATGCAGTTCAGGCTGTTCTTGAGCTCACTTTGTAGCCCAGGCTGGTCTCAAACTTGCAAGAATCTCCCACCTCAGCCTACGGAGTGCTGGGATCACAGGTGTGAGCCACTATGCCCGGCTCTCTGCGGTACCCAGGGATTGAACTCACGACCTCGCGCTTGCCAGGCAGGCGCTTATGCCGCTGAGCTAAATCCCCAGCCCTTGGGTGCTTTTTAAAATGCAGAAGTTGTGAGAATACCCTTATTGTGAGTTTAGTAGTGAAAGCTGCTAGCACACACCTGGTGATGGCTGTACAGCGGTGCCCAAGGTGAAGATCCCTACTTTCCAGGGACTTACAGTCGAAGCACTGCCATTGTAACTGTGTCTTGTGAAAACCTGCATGTTGCTTTTTAACAACAATGAGTAGGTTTCTCAAAACCTCTTCCAGATGGTGTGGGGAGAGGGGTACTTCCAGATGAGTTACTAAGGGAAGCTCCAGAGGTAGGTGGGTTAGATAACATAGGCCCAGGGAGCGTTATTACTTGCTGGCTGTCAACTGCCACTGTTCTGCATGTCACCCAGAGTGGCTGGACCCTCTGATTCTGGGGAAGCAAGGAGGTGCCACCCCTGAGGCAGAAGGACAGAAAAATGACTCCTGGCAGGCCCTGGCACAGAGGGCATCTGCTTCTTGGAGGAAGAGGGCATCAGGTTGCTTATGGCAGGGGTTGAGGGACTGAAGCAAAGCTGAGGCCCAGCTGGCACTGGGTTTGCTGCTCTGACTCCAGATGGCAGGCTGGCCCCTGTGTGCCCTGGCGTACCTCACCACTGATGCAGGGCTCAGGACACTGATGGGATTTTTGTGCTGCTCAGCTCTCTGCCCTTCCTCTGTTCTCTAGCAAAGAGAACTGAAAAGCACTGTGCCATCTCAACTCTGCTCAGGTGAAGCAAAGACAAGGGCGCAGACTTCTGAGACCAGTCATAAAGGGCAATTTCCTGGGGGTGGCCCACAGTATCTGGATGTAAACTGCCGGTTCCGCTTCCTTTGTCAGAAGCTTTCCTGCCCTGGAAACCTGCTTTTGCTTACTTCTGGAAGGTTCAGAGGCCCAGATGAGGGTGTGAGCCCATGTTAGGACATATCTTAAGACAGGGCCCATCTTCCCCGGATGTTGACAATGGAAATAGTGTCCACATGGAGGGGCTGAGAATGTGGCTGGCACTGGATCCCTCAGAGAAGGCCCCTTTTCCCTAGGTGCCTTCCTCAGACTGTCTCACGGGCCACACAGTGCTCTGTGTTTCTTTGTTGCACACTGGTTGGGCCTTCCCAGATGAATTGAGTAGCTCAGCTAAACCCAGGTCCGAGCATCCAATGAGATCTTTGTCATCCATGCATTCAACAGATATTTAGTGAGTCATGTGCAGGCTCACTTCCAACTTCAGAAACAGCTGTGAACAAGACAGATGAAACTCCTGCCCTACAAAGCGTCCGTTCTAATAAACAGGTTGGAGGCAAACAAAGAACCTAGATCATGAGCCTGCAGCATTTGGCTTAGGATTTGGGGTTAACTCATCTTTAGTTTCATGTTTCTCCTATTATGAGTCTCTGGCTAGCTGACGTCTCTTCTCAAGCAGCTGCCACCTGAGCCCTAAGTGCTCTTAAGGATGACCAGGGGCTGGAAGTGTAGCTCAGGGATGGAGCACTTGCCTAGCATGCATGGAGCCCTGGGTTCCATCCCCAGCGCCACAAAAAATAAAGCAAAACACAGTAGATGTACGCTTACTGTGTCAGCAGAGGCAGACTGCTTCATTACCTGCAGTTTCCTTATGACTCCAGAAGCAGATTAATTTGGGGGGCGAGGATAACATTTCCCCAAGGTAAAAATTTTGGGGAGCACGCAGTTAACAAGACACCAAGCCGAAGGTGTTAAGACTTTTATTCTTATTAGGACAGTGGGGCGCTTCCTCTGCCGAGTGCTTAATTCTGGACGCCTCTATCCCTCAGATTCCTGTCTTCCCCTGGTAAACCCCTCTGGATTAACCTGTCACACTCTGTCAGTCTTGATGCAGGCAGCTCTCTGTGTCCAGGTCCTGGTGGCATTATATTATCTCTAACTTCGGAGTTACATTATTTATTTTCCACTGAAAATTAGACCAGAAGCTCTATGGAGGTGGGGGTTGGGATTTATTTCTTTGACGGATTTCCTGTCTTCTTGAGTCTAATTTACAACTTGCACCAGACACACCTCCCCAAAATGGGCACATCCTTAGCCGAGGCATTTTTAACTCCCCAAGTGGCAGCTGAGTAACCCTTTCTCCTCTCCCTTTCTTCATCAATATCATCCTTTCCCTTGTGAAAAAATTGCTATCCTATGTCTCTCAAAAATATCTGTGTTTGTGTGTGTTGTGTGTTGGAAATGGAGGAGGGGTAAGGGAGGGGAAAGGGTTGAGGGTCTCCTACAGATTACAATTTTCCTAGTCAGACGAGATGGTGTGCAGCTCGAGTACCAGTTACTCAGGAGGCTGAGGCAGAAGGATTGCAAGTTCATGGCCAGCCTAAACAAGTTACTGAGACTCTGTTTCAAAATAAAATAAAAAGGGCTGGGGAATATAGCTTCATAGCAGTACACTTGGGTTTGATCCTCAATGTCACAAAAAGAAAAAAAAAGTTTTCTCATTAGTGATACAGTCTCCCTGTACATGTGTACTCCTTTCTTAGCCCTGTGGCCTGCTTCCCTACAAGCTGTGGAGCAGAAGTGCATCGTCGGAAGTAACCTCTTTCTCATCACCTCCCCCTTAGAGTGGGGGACGCCAAAGGACACTTAGCTTCTTGGACTCAGAGCTCAAGGAAGTGAGCGGTCCCCAAGACCTCTTCCATTTTTACTGTCTTGTGGTTTTGTATTAGGTGGTCTTCTCATCCACTGGAATGGCTGAAATAAAAAAGAACGAGCCAAGGTGGAGGAGAGGCTGAGGCAGGAGGATTGAGAGTCAAGGAAGGGGTTAGGGGGCAACTGGCCAGCTCACATTGCAGTGGGAAGAGTTGTTAATAAAGTTACACACATATCTAGCAATGAGTGGCTCAGCAATTCTTCTTGTGGGGTGAGAATAGGGTGTTTACCCATGAAAATGAAAGTCGCACACAGAGATCCATGTGGGAATGTTCCTAGCTGCTTTGGAAACAACTCGGAGGCCCATCAGCAGAAAAGCGAATACACACACTGAAGTACCTCCACTCAAATCGTACTCAGCCCTGGATACTCACAGCACAGGGGAATCACAGACCTTATGTTGAGCAAAAGATACAAGACACAAAATACATATTGTATGATTCCACTAATATGAGGTTTATGAGCAGGCCAAACTAATTTGGAGCAGGGGCTCTCAATCCCTGGTGAACCCCAGCCCCCTCCCCACTGGGAGCCCTTTAGCAATATCTGGAGACATTTTTGTTTTTTCACAACTGGGGCCATGTGTGTGCTACTGGCACCTAGTGGGTCGAGGCCAAGGATGGTGCTAAATGCCCTATGCAGCAGAGGACAGGTCCACAACAAAGAATTAGTCCACCCCAAAAGTCACCGGAGCTGAAGTGGGGACCCCTGGTCTATAGTGACAAAAGTCAGAAAAGTGTTTGCCCCTGAAGCCATGTTGGCTGGAATGAGCACAAAGGAATTCTCTGGAAAGATGGAAATGTTCTATATTTGCATTAATATAGCAGCCGTTAGGCACATGTGGCCATTTAAATTAAAATGACGAAGTGTTATTAAAAATTTGGTTCCTCAGTTGCACTGGCCACATTTTAAGAGCCTACTAGCCACCCGTGATGGAGACGGAACATTCCCAAGTTTGCAGGGCCATTCTGAACAGCAGTTGCTCTGTTTCTTGAGCTGGGCCTTGTAAAAAGTCATTGAGGCTACCCTTGAAATTTGCACCTTTTATTGCAACATAAATGATACACCTCAATATGCAGAACCATGTGAGATGAGAAAAAGTCCTTTCTGCAGGTGAGGACTGGGGGCGCTGCAGAAGTCAGAGCCCTTCCAAGGGCGTGGCTGCGCACAGGGTGCAGGGCACACCAGGTTCTGGCTTTGCCTCCAGAAGCTGGTGGGATCGCAGAGGCAGAGGCCTGAAAGGGCAGGAAATGCCAAGGCCATTTACCCTAGGGGCAGTCAAGTGCTGCCCTGGCTCCTAGGGCACTGAGTAAGTGGTTGAGTGGACCCTACTCCCACCGGTTACCAGTTGGGGCCTCCACACCCGGGTCTGCTGGCTCTCCCTGCAGAAATTGCTCCATTCCCTGTCTCTACCGCCTCTCTTGCTCTTCTGGTGTGAGGGTTTTACAATAACAGCATTGTAACCACTTTGAGAAAACCAATAAAAAGGCGGTGACAAAAGAATAGCAGCCCGCTGGAAATTGCACGCAACAGCGCAGGCTCAGGCCTTTTGCCGCTGTGGGTTTAATAGCGCTCCCGGGCTGCAGACTGCAAAGACGCACACGTTTATTTGGGGGATGCGCGGCGGCTTCAATAATGAAGCTCGCGAAGCCTTCAGATAAATGTAGGGAGCCACTCCAGCCTTCTTACCCAAGTGGGGCCGGTAAATGGAAACACAAACCTTCCCTTTCGTGCCCTGGTCAGACTGTGGAACCCGCTGCCCTGCGCTGTGGATGGATAGCACTGTCTGGCTTGTGCATACTTCGGATCAACCTTTGGCTGATATCAGTGCCAGTGCGGGCTCTGTCCCACCCTTTCTCCACTGGTCCGTGGCCACCTTGTCTACTGACCCTTGGGGACCCTCAGACTCTTCGTGTCTGGCTGCAGCTCACCTCCAGCTCTCATTCCTTGCTGCTCTGAAGAGAAACCTACAGTGCTTTGTGTACTTAGTAGACCCCAGCGTACAAAAATAATTTCAAAAAAATTAATAATTTCAGACTCCCAGAAAAGTTGCAAAGTAGTATGATTCTGATATTCTTTTCACCCAGATTCTTCAAAGGTTAACATTTTACCAATTTCCTTTATTCTTATCTTTCTGTCGCTTTCTCTTTATGTATGTATAGCCATGTATGAATTATTTGAGAGTAAGTTGCAGACTTGGTGACCCCTTACCTCTGATACAGATCTCTTAACAAAGCTATTCTCTTACATAGCCCAGTGCAATGATCAAGATCAGGAAATTAGCATTGCTATAATACTCTTTCCTAATCTGCAGACATCCACGTTTCTTTAACTGCCCCGGTACACTCTTTTATAGTGAAAGAAGAAGAAGACAGCTTTTTCTTTTCTTTTCTGGTCCAACATCCAATTCAGTATCACATGTTGCATTTTATTGTTATGTACTGTACCTCTAGTGGGCTTTTATCTACAAATTTACTCAGATTTGGGTTGAGCTTCTTGGTTTTTAAATTTTTTTTATTTTTTGCAGTGCTAGAGATCAACCCCAAGGCCTCACATGAGCTAGGCAAGCATTCTACCACTAAGCTACAGCCCCAGCTCACAAATGGGCTTTCTGACTTCTATCTATCTATCTATCTATCTATCTATCTATCTATCTATCATCTATCTATTTATTTATTAGTTATGGGGAGGGAACCCAGGGTTTTGCACATTATGGTTCAGCATTCTACCACCAAGACACCCTCAGTGTAAGGCTTTTTTGGGGGGAGGTGGCAGAATCCTTCTATGCTGGCTAGCTGCCCTCAAACTCCTAGGCTCAAGCAATCCTCTTGCCTCAGTCTCCCCAGTAGCTGGGACTATAGGTGTGGGACATGGTAACTGGCTTCTTCGAATTTTAAAAGCGTACAAGTTGATTATTTTTGGTTCCCTAGAAGGAATGGCTGGCAAATGCCGGAGAAATGTTTCCTTGCCTGCACCCCCAATTTCCTCCCCATTACACTTGCCAAGAGCTTTTCTCTGACTCCCTAGCTTTATCAGTAAGCATGGGGATTCTAGGCCCTTTTGCCAGGACTTTCTCCATCCCCATCCCCCTTCCTAATCCAGAGGTCAGAACATCCCTGAGATATAACAGCAGGTGGCCAGGCCTCCGGGTGACTCCCTTCCCATGGGAACTGCACTGTGGATAACCGTTGGAGGCATTTCCTTTATCTCCGGTGCTCCTGGCTCCACAGGGGGCTGGCAGAAGTGGTAATATCACCGTGTTACAGGTTAGCAGGCACCCCCAGGAACAGACCCTCACTGGGGTTTTCTGAATCTGTTTGCCATTCCCCTACCCCTCCAGAATCAGTATTGGCCTTTCCTCGCAGCTGCAGAGTGATGTGTGGCAGGGCTGCAAACATCATTTAATTTCCAAGATGGCCGGCATTGTCACCTAAGTGTTTGCCATTGTTGCTGATGTGGGAAGGAGACATTTCTGGCTATGATTTCAAGTGTCCTCATGAAATAGTACTAGCTCTCATCTCCCAGAGCATATAGACACTCAGAAAGAGGAGAGAGAATAAAAAGAGGCCAGTATGAAGGCAGCCAACTTTGAAAATTGCGGGGCCCAATTCGGGTGAGAGCAAGGCCACTTGTGTGCATGTGTGCATGTATGTGGAGTGTGTGCGTGAACTCCATCTAGGGTTGTTGAAAGAAAGAGCCCACTCTCTGCTCTAAACAAAGCTCACAAATGAGCTGAAAGGAGTATTTCGGTGATCATTCTCTCAGCGCGTGTGTGGAACTGGGGGTGTTGTGTGTGGGGGTGCATGCTCGTGTGTGTGCCCCTGCGTGTGTATAAGCCTCTGTGTGTTCAAGGGTGGAGAGATATTTACACACTATGCTATGCAAAACTGTGTGAATCATATGGGAATTTAAAATATTGATATTCTTGGTTAAATCAACACCACACAATAATGTCATTGTGTGCACGAGCTCTATTCTGACACCAGAGAGGAGAATCAGAGATTTTTCCCGTTGCGGTGTTGTCTGGGTTCTCAGTCTCAGCACCTTGCTACAGTAAGCCGGAACACACAGAAACTACACTTGAACTAATGCCTAAAACCTGACGGAGACATACTTCATAGTTAATCTGGTTACTCGGGGTTTATTTCACAGTCAGAAGTTCTTATGATGGAAGGGGCTCCTGCTGGCTTCTCCCAGACACATGACTGAATTAATGAATGAATGAATTCAACTTACCAGGGCAGATTTAAACTGCTTACTGAAACAAAATCTGGTCATTTTTCTTCCTTCCGTTTTCTTTTAAAAGATAAATATGAGCCTCATATGGGTTGCTGTAAGAGTCATTAATCCTTGATAACCGAATGTTTTATCTTTTGATTAAAAAAAGGCAGGCTGACTGACAGTGAGCTTACGACCACAGCCTCATTAACAAGCCCAGTTCAGATGTGGCCTGGCAAATAAACACAAGCGATCCATTAAGCAGGCAGCACCCAGATGCCAAGGCCGCGTGCTCTGGGCTTAAATGCAAGGGACAGGTAAACCAGCCCCGTGCTGCTGAAGCAGCAGAAAGCGTTCGTCTTTTTTTTTTTTTTTTTCTTTTTCTTTTTCCAAAACGAGTGCTTTCTGTGCTACTACCTGGTTGTCAAATTTTAATGGGTGCTTGTTAACAGGGACTCTGAAATATTGTGATGTATTTGACCATCAGCAGCTTTCCGGCCTGCTGTTGGCACTGAGCTGGTGTATTTTAATAGGCTTCTCAAGGTGGTCCTGGAGTCTCTGGTACTGCAGGCAGGGCCCAGCTGGTGCTGAGGGGTGGGATAGGGGTGCGGGGCCTTGAGACCCCAGGAACAGAGAAGGAGAGGGACCTGCTGAGCTTCCTGAACAGCTCTGGAAGGCCCAGGCAGTGAGGCTTCCCATAGCTGCGTTTCCTCACTGCCAGCTAAGCCCAGGGAGCCGTGCACTGGGCCTTCCCACCCACAGGGCGAACCCCTCCTGGAAAGGCTGCCCGCCGCTCTTTCCCCTCCTGCTCCCCTCTTCTTTCTCTCCCACCTTTTCCTCTTCATAGTCCTGCTCTTCCTCCTCTTTCTTTCTTTCTTTCTTTCTTTCTTTCTTTCTTTCTTTCTTTCTTTCTTTTTTTTTTTTACCGGAACCGGGGATCGAACTCACGACCGCCTGCTTG